AGGAGGTACATTTTGAAAAGGTAATGTTGAGAGAGGCTGATAGGAGCTAGTGCCCTGATCCCCAACCAGGGTGCTAGGTGGGTTTATCACAAGACAAACCCAGAGATTTCAAAAAGCAATCCATAGAGTTAAAACCATTCTGATCTGTTTGGGGTCTTTCTGATTTTTTTGCAACAGAAGAATTGCACAAAAAGATTGAGACCCACTGAGCTAGTGAATAAACTGCTGTCTGAGCGTTTTCTAGTAAGTTATGATACTGTAAAGATGCAATCTGAATATTAATGGGAGGCACCAGTGAAACAGCTTAATCATGAATATGAGTAAGTTTGGAACAAACTGTTTCCCAGAAAAGTGACACTGCACACACAGTGACATCTCTTTCACTGAGGAAATGTTCTTTATCGTGAATCCACATGACACCCATCTTGCCTGAAATATTTTTTCTAATCACTAGGCCCTCTTTATGCCTTTATAATAAGTATATCAATAATCATGGTTTTGTAGAACTAAAAAGATGATTTCAGTGAAAAGTAGCTCAGCCTAACACCAAAATATTTTGCACTGTCTTAGCATCTTTGGAATGGGTCTGAGGTCAATATGATGCCAGCCTTGCAGATATCCCTGTATGTTCAGATCCAGCAACTGGTTTTGGAATCTAACTTCACATCAAAAGCATCTGACTCTTAACTTGTGCTGTATGAAGTTTCTTTATTGAAAAAAATAAAACAAAATAAAACCTTAACTTGCTCTTTTCACCACTAGAGGGAAGCTGCAGCACAGGCTGGGTACATGGTTTTTTGCTAAAGAGATTAGTTTTCCACCAGGTCAAGCAGTTGAGATCTCCTTTGAAATGATATAGCATTTATTTAATGCAGCTTCATTGGCCTCAAGCTGAAGACATTTTGATGTCTTATTTTTGCTGATGAGATTTCTAACAGTCCTGTGGGTGGAAATTATTATGAAAATTAACAGCAATAAAAAATTGCTTGATAACGTTCAGTGGAAGATGAACACCTTGTTGTTTCCAAGTCCAGCCCTCAAACCTCTAACCCCCAAGTGAGAATATTCTCACTGTGCATTCTGCTGGATGGATATCTTTGGGGAAGGCAGGGGACAGACCCTGGGTCTTCCAACATTGGGAGACCCTGGAGTACATCACCCTTCTGGACAAGCAAACCAGTTGGATATTCGCCACAGTTGCTGGAGAAGGGGATGGCTTGAGGGACTTGACTCTGAGAGGCCAAATGACCAGCTCATGATATCAGTAAGACACAGATAAAGATGTGTCAGACCAGCTCCCCAGTGCCCGCTAGAGTCTCAGGTGTGGTCACTGCTTTGCTGTTCTGCAGCGAGGACATCACTTGGCACAACTGCCTGCTGTGCTACCACATTTGAGAGACTTGGTGCAAAGTTTCTAAGTCAGGTCTGCCTCCTAACTAATTTTAGCTGGTAGATTCTGCTGAAAGATAGGTATTCTAGCTAGGCTGGGAATTAATGCATAGTTCCTGAGAATCCATTTTCCCTTAAAAATGACCTCTGGTTGTTAAAAAACTTGAACTCGTGACATAGCACAACCACCTACCCTTCTGTCACACCCCAAAGCTGCTTCCTAATATATTTTTGCTACCATAAGGAACTTGGATTAGATTTTGGATGAACACAGTGGAAAATAAAATATTAATATTCATGTGTGGGTTTGAGACGCAATGCTAATTTGCACATCTTTTGAGAGTGGGTGGAAAGGAAATAATGGTAACAACCACGGGGAATACAGCAGCTCTAGAGCATCTTGATAGCAGTTAACCCAGCAGTCAACACTGGTGAAAAATATTTGCAAGGCATGGGTCCGTATAAAATGTCAGTTGTTTGATTGTTGAACAGCACCTTTGGTGCTATCTCGACCTCTGGCAATACAGACCCTTGAGCAAACTGGTCTGTAGAGGGAACAGACTGATCACGAGGACGATGTGGCAGTGCATGAGACTAGAAGAATACGTGGAGGTGTCTTTGTAATCTCCACTTGGCTCTCCTTCATTTCCCTGAAGCTTTGCCTTCTTACAAGGGTTTGCTGTGGGTGACTTGCTCCAAACGTGACCAAGGCCAGAGGCGAGTGATACAGTGGTCACTTTCTGGGGATTGCTGGGTAATGCTGTGAGCTTCAGTGGCTTTGAGTCATCCTGAGGATGTTGGAGGTTTTGTTGGAGTAGGTGCCCTGTTCTAAATGGCACACTCGGCTTTGGTCAGCTGCGTACCTGATCTGTTTAAACAGCTGCTCATTCTCCTAAATCAATAAGGGATGATTGTCCAGCCCATTTATCCCCCTCTGAAAAGAACATCAGGCAGAACGGAGAACAAAATGAATGCCTCCCCAATGCATCCTTAATCCTAGGATAATGCAGCATGGCTCTTCTATTTCACTCCCCTCAGAGGTTTGCAAAAGTCTACACGTGATTTGGTCCCTTGCAATTTCTTGGAAATGCCCAGGTGGATCAATGAATGGGCAGATAACAGTAAGAAATGTGTGTGAAAATCAACATGTCAATGGAAAAGGAGCCAACTGATTACCAGAAAGTAACTGCATGTCATAGTTACACTGACGTTGCCAGGCAGTGCTAGGTTGGCAGCTTCCAGAATCCCAGGCGCTCTTGCTGAGAGGGGTGCGCACCGCTGTGTCCCACTGCAGCTCTCAGAACAAGGTTAACAAACTGAAAGGCTTGGGACAGGTGCTGGCCTCTGAATGTTGCCCACTTCAAACATATCCCGCGAGGCCCATGGGGAAGTACCCCCAGGACAAGGCGTTGAGGAATGTCCAGGTGTTCACTGTGTCTTCTTCAGGCCTCTACTTCCTTTGGGAAATGGCTGATGTTATCAATCGGTTCCCCTCTCCTATTTATATTCCATAAGTTCAAATTGAGCAAGGTAATTCCCACAGCCCCTGCTCCAGTGCCAGCATCTAATCGGGGCTACAAATTAACTAGGTTGTTCTTAGTCAATGGCACTTCCTAACAATAATGGCCATAAAGTTTCAAGCCATTTGTACGGAAGGCATACATCGGTCTGTCTGCTCATCGCCATGCCAGAACGCTGAACCGGCATGGAGAGCATGCCAAGACTGATTCAGCTACACCAGCATCTTTCCTGTGACAGAGGCCACGGAAGGACATCCGCAGCTAAGAAGCAATGAGCTCAGACAGAAGTAGTGTCTCCCTAGCTGCAAGCTTTAATGCCTGGCTTCTGTCCTGATCCAGGAAGGGTTTTGTATTCTTTCTGGCTACTGGATTTTACCTTTGATCTTGTCTTGTGGAGCTCTGTTTTTCCCCGTGGAAATGAGCAATCCTTTTTGACACATCCAGTGGCTGTATGAACATGGTCCAAAGAGATTTGCCTTTCAGGAGCAGCATGTGGAGTTGGAGGTAGGGCAGTCTGTATTTCCGTTGAAAACATTATCCTTGCAAGGGTGCGCAGTGCTAGTTGAACAACCACAATTCACAATGTAAACCCAGAGATTTCAAATAGGGATCAAATAGGGTGTTAAGGCCATTCTGCACTGCTGTGGTCTTTCTGAGTTCTTAATTGCTCTGGTGTTTTTTGTAGTCAAAATGCAAGTGAGAGCTAAAAGCTGGCATTTTCCAAGGGGGACCAGGAGTCTAATGAGGTTGAGAACCACTGCTCTAGCCCCATGCAGAATGTGTCTCCGTGGCTGGTTCAGGAGGAGGACATGGCGACTTTCTTAGCCCATCGTAATCTCCGCTTTGCCTGTCAGGAGGCTTTTCCTTTGCTTGTTAAGAAGTAAGGTACATGATTCGGCATCTGAGAATGGTTGAACATAATTAAGG